CCCCAAAACCCCAAAACCCCAAAACCCCAAAACCCCTAATCTCTAAAATAATATAGAATAAATAAGAACTTAGTATGGAAAAAGATTTGGAGAAAAAACTCAGTGGGCTTAGTATTGAGGATGCGAAGGTAAGTGGCTGTGAGGAGAAGGTGGAGAGAAGGAGGGAGAGGAAGGACTTTTGTGTATGGGAGATGGGGTCAGGGAGAGGGAGGTAGAGGGAAATGTGGTTAGGAAATTTTAGTTGTTGGGAAAGATTATGAAGAGAAGATATTATGGGTGAGAAGTGAGGAGATAGGTGTGTTGAAGAGAGGGAGAATGAGTTTGGGCTATGAGAGTTGTTGTGGGGTATTATGTTGGGATTTTCAAAGGAATCTTGGGTAATACCTCACTAATCTTGTGATATAAGATAAATCTCATGAATTTACAGAGTTGTATAAACTTTTTTGTTGTTTAAAGAATAAGCATCGAAAGATAATTCTACTTAACTCAAAACAAGCATTTCTTTAACCTTTGTGTCTCCACTGTTTGCATTTAAGCTTTGTTGTTAACAAGTTGACATAGGAAAGCTTCAGTCTCTCTGACTTCAACCTCAGTAAAACTGTTGGTACTGGCAGCTTCGGCCGAGTAGTCATGGCCAAGCTTAAATAAAGACAAGAAGAAAATGCCGTATGCCCTCAAAATACTCAAGAAGACTGAAATCGTCAGGTAATTTGCTGGTTGACTCTTAGGCTCAAGCAGGTCGATCATGTCAAGACTGAGTGCAAAGTGCTCATGATGATGGACCACCCCTTTATCATCAAGATAAAAGGCAAGTTCAAAGACAACAAGTATGTGTACTTGCTTCTTGAATACATTTGAGGAGGAGAACTCTTCAGGCTCCTCAGGTCCGAATGCAGGTTCATCAACGATGTGGCTTTGTTTTACATCACCGAGATCGCTTGTACACTCGAATACATCCACTCGCTAGACATTGCTTATCGTGACTTGAAGCCTGAAAATTTGCTGATCGACAAAGAAGGCCACTTGAAAATTACAGACTTCGGGTTTGCTAAAATCGTCAGAGACAAAACTTACACGTTGTGAGGGACTCCAGAGTACCTGGCCCCTGAAATCATCCAGAACAATGGACACGATAAGAACGTCGACTGGTGGGCTCTGGGCATCCTGATTTTCGAGTTCCTGGCAGGCTACCCTCCGTTTTATGATGAGAACCCATGGGAGATTTACAAGAAAATTATAGAGGGGTACTTCGAGTTTCCATCGAACATTGAGACAAAGGCCAAGGATTTGATCAAAAAGTTGCTTAGTGTAGATCCATCTAAGAGACTCGGCAGCGGGAGTACTGGAGCAGCCGATGTGAAGAAACACAAATGGTTTAGAGGAGTAGATTGGGACTTAGTGTACAACAGAGAGATTCCTCCACCATGGACTCCGAGCATGGAAAGCGAAGATGACACCCAGTACTACGATGACTATCCTGACTCAACAGACCCAGTGGAAGAGCCGAGTGTCGAAGACCAAGAACTGTTCGATGATTTTTAGTGCACACTTTAACTCCTAATAAGCTTGAGCAAAGACAAATGTTAGATAGGGGCAGCTCTCGTTCAATATTTATTTAACAATTAGTCGTTGCCCTCATGGGGTTTTGGGGTTTTGGGGTTTTGGGGTTTTGGGGTTTTGGGGTTTTGGGG